CCAAGATATATATATATATATATATATATATATTAACGGACCAAGTCCAACAGCCAACCCAGCAGCAATAACTGAAGCGGCAGAAATCAGTGGATTATTCATTATAAGTTCCTCACAGCAAAATAAAACAAAGAAATGGTTAGTGATACTATCATATCATGATATAAATAAAATAAAGAAATGGTGAACCTGGAATTTTAAGAAAAAGATCTTTTCTTTTTGATCTCTTTCTTTCTTTCTTTCTTCTTCTTGTTCTTCTTCCTTTTTAATTCCAATTCATTACCTGACATTTGTCTATTTCTATCCCCTAAGTGGATTATATGGAGTTGCACATACACTAAGTTTCGCTAAGCTAAAAAATAAAAAAGATGATACTTGTACTTTCTCAAATTATATATATTGGACATATTTGGGGTGAGTGCATCATTACTGGATAGTCTGTTTGTCCCATCAACAAAGGGATCCTTTTGGAGATGCAATGGATTCAAGTAAATCTGGATATATTCATGGAGCATGGTCTCTGGATTATGAGTCCTCAGATTAGGAACTGAGTTAAGTTTAAGGCTGAAATATCAGGAATAGATTCAAAATTTCCTATTATCTTTGTCTGTTGAACTTGTAATTTGGAAATTGGAATTCAAATATCTTGCATTTTCAAATTATTTGCATCAGGTGAATGGCTGCTTATCATATTCCGACAAAGTTCCTGATGGATTTTATTTTATTCATGGAATGGACCCATATATGTGGACTATCTGCACTGATCTGCATGAGCATGGTCGTATTCCATCAATTGAATCACTAAGGTCTGTTGATCCTAGTTTTGATTCTTCTCTTGAAGTGAGCTTGGTTGATCTGCAAAGTGATCGCATCTTGAAAGAACTGCAAAACAGAGTTCACAACATTTCTTGTAGTTGTATTACACCAGAAGAGGTTGTTGATCAGCTAGCAAAGCTCGTGTGTAACCACATGGGGTGAGTTATCTTCATCTTTGGCATGCAATTTTTCAGAACTCACACATTTCAATTGCACTTTGCTGACCAAGTTTTTATTGTTATCACAAGGGGTTCAGCTACTTCTGGAGAGGATTGCTTTGTTTCCTTCTGGAAAGAGTGTAGTGATGATCTAAAATATTGTTTAGGATCAGTTGTGATTCCTATAGGCAGCCTATCTGTGGGACTCTGCAGACATCGAGCTCTACTGTTCAAAGTAAGGAACCAAGTTTCACGGTGCTTTCATTTTAGTTGATATGGTATGAATTTTTGGAATGTTTATGATTTCATATTTTTTAACATATTTTTTTTCCTTTGCAATTCTATTAAATCATTATCAGCTTGCCAACTTATATTTTGGTTGTAATTTTTCGGATGCTTTAGCTGCAATTTTGTCAGTGTATTTCTTGTTAGTTTTATATTTGGATCTGTTCATGTTCCAAATTTGATATCTGCAGGTGTTAGCTGACTCAATTGATCTTCCATGTCGAATTGCAAGGGGCTGCAAATATTGTAAAAGATTTGATGCTTCTTCTTGTCTTGTTCGGTTTGGGCTTAACAGGTGTGTCTTGTTTAGATATGGGTCCATACAAACTGAACAAATTCTGTGCTGTTTTTAAAAGACTTAGTCCTGTCCTTTAAACTGATGATGTTTTTTAAAAATGAAATGAACAAAATAACAAATTGTATTAAATGACTCTTTTGCAGTACCAATTGGTCATGGAATCAATGCATTTGCTTTTAAATTGACCTTAAATTCATTTCATTGAGGAAGCTAATCTCTAACTTATCCTGGTGGATCAAGTTCTTACACTTTCTCACTTTCCTATTTAGCAACCCAGAATAGATGCCTCATGAATTATATTTACATAATTTCAGGGAGTGTCTTGTCGATTTAATAGGGAAGCCAGGTTACTTAAGTGAGCCTGATTCCTTGCTCAATGGTCCATCTTCCATTTCAATTTCTTCCCCATTGCGTTTTCCACGTCTCAAACCAGCCGAACCTGACATTGATTTCAGGTCACTGGCCAAACAATATTTCTCATACTCTCAGTCATTCAATATTGTGTTTGATGATGCTTCAGCAGGTAATTTTAAGTCTTACTTTCTTTGTTTTTGTATTGTTTAAAATGCAAACTATATTGAATGCCTTCATACTGCTTTGGATTTTAGTTTAATTCTAGCAGTTAGTATTAAGCTGGTTGTTTGATATCAAGAGTAACTTGCTGCTTGCTGGTTGTGTTTTTCTTACCATTGAAGCTGTTATTAACATCTTTGTGAGAATTTGTCTCATTGTTGTTTATAACTGCAGGTGCTACTATTAATGAAGAAAATGCTGGATTCTCTCTTCATGATAAGCAGCATGATAAGATGGGCACAGAGAGAAACAACTCTATGCAGATCTCAAGTGAAATTTCAAAGTTACCTCCGCCTCCAAAGTTTGCTCAGATAAAGAAGATTGTAAAAGATCCAATCCCTTTTAAGCACATTCCTCCAATTGGACTTAGGGATATTTCAATGTTGGGCTCAATACCAGATGTTGGTAAAGATTCAAGGATTTCTGAGTATGGTCAACTTGTTCCTGGCAAGCCAGAGAGAGAACTTGCCCTTGATGTAGATGGTTTGGATATTCCATGGAGTGATCTTATCTTAAAGGAGAGAATTGGAGCAGGTATCTGATCTTTTCTTTTAAAGAAAGTTTTTTCTTTAATAGTATGCGGGGATCTCTTGCTTGTTATGTGGTTGAAGGCTTTATGCTCTTGTAGTGAAACTTAGTTTGGAATTGTTGCCTTTTCAGGCTCTTTTGGAACTGTTCATCGTGCTGAGTGGAATGACTCGGTAATCAATTTTTCCTTTGTTTAAATATCATTTTATGCTCATAAGCATGGAGTGAAACTTAGAGTATTTTAACTTCTGATTTATATTGTAGAATTTTGTTAATGCTAAGTTGTGTCCTCATGTATTTTGGTATTCTAGCTGTTTAACTGAGGGTTTAGACTTTAGATGCCTATATGGTATGGGGTGTTATGCATAGTGATGTCTAGTATCAATGATTATTTATAAATTTGACCGTTGAATGTCAGTTGATAGGCCAGTAGACAGTAAGCTACTAAGTAAGAGTGTGGTATAAGGGCTCCGCTAAGGTTAGCAGTTAGTCCTAGGGTACTTGTCCCAGCATGACAAGATACTGTCCCTGGGCTTGTAGTGCACCTGAAGAGGATGGTATGATGCTTCTGTATAGTGTGAGGTGAAATATAAAAGACTGAAGAGAACTACTCAATGGCATGGTGGTGTAGTAATTGTGTCTAGACCTTCTGTCAGTTTTGATTTCAGCATCAAATATTCATATATGCCTCCTGTTTCTTTCTGCACCCTTTTTAGATGAATACCTGCAGCCAATTTTCAAATGCTTTATCACTTAAAACTGTCTCTGATAATCAAGGATATCAATCGTGTCTATCAATCAAGTCTGCCAGGCAGTGCAGCTGGATTTCTATACATAATCTGTGGCTTAGAGCAGACTATACTGTCAGGGTCGTACAGCCTAGCATTTTAGTTTTTGATAAAACTTCTTTTTAGTTTTGCTGAGTAATTACCATGTCATTAAGTGGTTAATATTCAAGCCTGGCATCAGTCAACTGAAAGCTGCTTATCATATGGTTTGAGCAAAAGTTATAGGTTTATCTGCTGAGGTTCACTAGGTTAGGCGTTATGTTATTACCTGTTTGCTCCTCTTCCATTGTAAAAAGGAATATATGGATATCCATCCCTTTTTTTATTTTGGAGTTTGGGCTTCATCCATGGTGCTGAATTTCATGTTTTGAAAACTGTTTGACTTGGTTTCTAAATCAATAAGTTTTCCTGAATTCCATTTTACACCATATATTATCAACCTATGTTGCTTGAATTTTTTAAAACAAATTTCCTATCTGTTATTTTTGGTTAAGGTCAACCATCTTTTCTTCTTTAAAATATATATTTTCTGGGACAATTACAGGATGTTGCCGTGAAAATTCTCATGGAACAAGACTTGCATGCAGAGCGTATCAAGGAATTTCGGAGGGAGGTATGGCCTGGCTCAGAGATTTTTTAAAGCTGGCCCCATAAAATTAATATAATGCCAATTTGACTTTAGAGATTTCAATCTGATATTTTAATAATATTGGTCTGTTTAGGTTGCAATAATGAAACGATTGCGGCATCCAAATATTGTTCTTTTCATGGGTGCAGTTACTCAGCCCCCAAACTTGTCTATTGTGACAGAATACTTGTCAAGGTTTTAAATTATCTTCCTGAGGACTTGATTCCTTCAAATAACTCATCTTTCCTCACCTCACAATCCGTAACCCTTTTTAAAAACTAATTTTATCAATGTCATTTTTAGGCTTACACATTTCTATACATTCTGAATTGCAGAGGTAGCTTATATAGGCTTTTACATAAACCTGGAGCAAGAGAAGTCTTGGATGAGAAGCGTCGGTTGAATATGGCCTATGATGTGGTGTGTATTCAAAGGCTTTTACTTATTTATTGGCTCTTCTTCTTCTTTCCCCTGTTTCTATTCAAAGAATATAGTTCTTTTGTGCATTCTTTTGGTCTAAATGTCATGCTTTTGTTATGCACAGGCAAAGGGAATGAATTATCTTCATAGGTGCAATCCTCCAATTGTCCATAGAGATTTAAAATCTCCAAATCTTTTGGTTGATAAAAAGTATACTGTAAAGGTAAGAACTAAAATGTATCTCCTACACCACAAAGTTTATAATTATTGAAACATTCCTGCATTAGGCTCATAATGTTCATTCTGCCTTCTCTAACAATGGTCATTTGTTCAATTGTCTTTGCAACATGGGCTAATGTGTTGCATAATACTCTCTACATGTTGCAACTGATAATGGAATCTGTATTGTTCTTAGACCTTATTATGTGAACAAAAAAATAATATTGTTCCAAAGGCTAGGTTTTTTGTTGCCCCTTATTATTATTATTTTTTTCTCTTCATTTTCATAGTCCAAATGATTAGCCTATTTCTTGCTGTTGTTTTATTGTTTTTAGCTTGCACAAGAAAGGAAGTTCTAAGTAGTGGTCTTATCTTACATCACTTTAATTGGGTTTGTTGTGTCCTTAGATTTGATTGGAGTATTTTAGGTTGGATGCCTACTGATTAGTCTCAAATAGCTTTCAAGGTCATCTCTCAAATAGTTTTCATGGTCATCTCTCAAATTAACCTTGTTGCCCTGGGAAAGTTGCAATTGAGCAAAGAGATTGTTATCTTAATTTTCTGTCCCATTATGCTGACAAAGGATAAGTGATATATATATATATATATATATATATTATTAACCAGTGAATGATAAAGTGATTGTGTTGTACCATCTCTGTAGATGTATCACCACCAGTGATGTGCATGAAAATCTTATTCTCTGCATTCTGAAATGATGTGTGATTGACAAAATTTGTACTAGTGCCAATAATTCATTGAGATTGAATTTTGGTTTGCAACCTATTTATAGGTCCCTGTACCTTTTTTCCCCATAGCTATTTTATGTGAAATCTACCTAACATTGTCTGCATGTTCATTCAGGTCTGTGATTTTGGGCTTTCTCGCTTGAAGGAGAACACATTTCTTCCATCAAAGTCAGCAGCTGGAACGGTAAGTTCTATTTAATTCAGGGTTGTTCCTTAAAAAAAATATATATATATATACATATAGTTGGCATGGAACTTTTTCAGACAACTAATGGTGTATTCATTTATGTAGCCTGAGTGGATGGCACCCGAAGTTCTCCGTGATGAGCCATCAAATGAAAAGTCTGATGTATACAGTTTTGGTGTAATTTTGTGGGAGCTTGCAACATTACAACAGCCATGGGGCAACTTAAATCCAGCACAGGTTTGTTTTTCAAAATTGTGTGCTGCATATATAGGAAATTAAAACTGTGCGCAAATTTTTGCTTTTGTTCTTGATTTTGCCTTTATAAAAATGTAGATCAGTAGATGACATTGTTTGCATGGTTATAATTATGAACGGATGTTAGCTAATTTATTTTTCCAAAGAAGCTAAATGAACCATTTCTTCAAGCATCAAGAATAGCAGTGTTGTCCATTATGAATTATATTGTATGCTTGACTCTCAGTTGAAAGTGGCTGAAAATCTTAGCCTCAAAAAGTCTTGAATTGAGTTGCACTTGTGATCTATTTTAATGAAAAGATGCTTTAGAATGAATCATATGGTGTTGGACCTCAAACCTTGTGAGTAAATGGTTACAAGAACTTATATGGGTCCTTCACATGCATTTTATCTTTAGTTTTATGGTGATAAATATTTGATAAGTATATTAAGCAAATGCTTTTTAATTCTCTATCTGTTGATTCTATTATTAGTATATATATTGACTTCTTAATCAATTCATTTGTTCTCTTAGATTGAATTTTTGTCTGTAGCTTCTTTCATTATGTTTTAATAATTGTCATGCAATGATATCTGCTGGAAGTAATTTTCTTATTTCACACGGCCTATGTAAACAAACATGTAGGTTGTAGCAGCTGTTGGTTTCAAGGGTAAAAGGCTTGAGATTCCACATGATCTCAATCCTCTGGTGGCAGCCTTAATCGAGGCTTGCTGGGCCAAGTGAGTCCATAATTCTTTGTTCTTGTGGCAACTTCTGAACAAATTTTCATGTTAAACAAATCAGAATTTATTCTTAAACACTGTTCACTGTTGCAGTGAGCCGTGGAAACGTCCTTCCTTCTCTAGTATCATGGAATCTTTGAGACCACTTATTAAACCTCCCACACCTCAACCAAGTGACTCCAATATTTCACTGCTTACCTGAAGGGGTGGACGACCAGAAGGTCATTTTACTCATGCACATAATAGAACATTCTTTTTGGCATTTGATATCTGGCAAGAATACAAGCTGTTTGATAGTCAAGGTGCGCCCTCTTAAATGCTTCAGTTTTTGAGTTTTGAATCTCCAGCAAAAACCAAAACTACTTGTCATACCGTCAAGTATGGAATTTGTTCCAATAGCAGAATCATGGTTGGAATGTTGGATTTTCCTTGAGGAAAGAAGAGGAAAGCTAGCCACCTGTTCCGGGTTTAAAATTTCTATTCCTGCTGAGATTTTGGCAGAGTGAAGCCTGAGTTCATGTCACTTAGACGAGTGAAAGTTTTCCCCTCCTGTAATGATGTAAATGATGCTTCTCTATAGGGCTGTAAGCAAACAGAGCCACTTACTAGTTAAGCTCAAGTTTGGATACTTCAAACTTTAGCTGGTCTCGAGCAGGGATGCTTGGCTCAACCCCATTCACTTACAGTCTATTTCTATGTTTCTCTCATAGAATGCATGATAACACCCTCCCCTTCCATCTTCTGTGTGTGTTCTTTCCCTTCTTCTTCTTCTTCTTCTTCTTCCTTTTTTTTTTTTTTTTTTTGGGGTGGAGTTGAGGAGTTGGGGTGCGGTGGTTGAAGACGTGTCTTTTTTTGTCTATATTTACTGGACTGTCGGAAGGCCTGATAACTGTTCTTTTTGCATTCTTTACAGAATTATTGCTGTGCGTTCCTGCTCTCATAACTGATAGAGGATCCAGATTTTCAATGTATCCGAAAGATTGTGGTAAATTATGTTACTCATCCAATCGTAAAAATTATTTCTTTCCAAGTTAGATGTACCATTACCGGGGAAAGGTTGTAGAATGATACTGTCTCCTCTAATTTTGTATGGAAAGATTGTAACAAATAATAATAATAATAATAATGAATTCGAAATTGCACCCCACTTGAGCTATGTTCTAAAAGTTGACTAGGCATGTCGATTATATAGCAATCTGATCGAAATATATGATCGCCTCCATTACGAGGGCTTTTAATTTTTTGGGCTAAAAAAAAGCCACTAAAATAACAAGACCTAACGCTACTGAACTAACAGGTGTTGTTCGTTAAGGGGTTTGGTGGTTCGTTTCTCTGGATAAACACGTACTCGCGGAAGTGGAATGGAGAAATTTAGGTGGTGGACACTTGGATCCCTGCACCATGCGTGTAAGATCCCTACCCGATATCCTGCGTAGGTCTGGTTAAATCGATTGCCGCTACTTTTGAAACAATTTTTGCACTGTTTTGTTTCCCAGGTCTGGAATCAATTAACCAAAATGAGTAGTGTTAACTCAGTTTTCGAATTTAGTAATTTGCCTCAAACTTAATTGTTTGAATTGAGTTAGTCGAAAATTTAATTCTCATTAGTTACTTGTAAAAATTCCTCCTCCCCATAATACCCTATGTAAAAAAAAAAAAAAAAAAAAAAAAACCCAAAATAAGTGGTGGAAAAATCTGACTCAGCCAAATGCATCAACTCAACTCAACTCAATACTCCAACTCTCAATCTGAGTCAACCTTAAGCCATTGCCCACAAAAAAAGAAGGAAAAGGAAAAGGACACCCACAGGTCCACAAACAAGTCATACACGCGTTCCCAACCTGTAACAGAATACAAAGTGACAAAATCACAAGCGTGATACATTAATTTTACTATGCAAGCAACAAATTAAAAAATCGATTAGACCAAATATTTCCGACATCTGGGCCAAAAAAGATCTTTCGGACAATGTATCTTCCCCAGAAGGAACAATCTAGCCCCAACCCATTTAAAAACTTCGCCCCCCAAGCATTCTGAGTTTTGACCGTACAGTATTTTTTCTAAAAAAAAATATTATCTTTATCTCACAAAGAAAATTTTATAATTATTTGTAATAAAAAAATAAAAAAATTAATTCTTGATATTTTTAATATTTTTAATAAATTTTTTATATATTAATTTATTAAAAATGTTTAAAATTTTTTATTATCAATTATGATATTTTAATTAATAAAATATCTTAATTTCTTTCCATTTCAATTATAATAATATGTAATAATAATTTTTTCTCTTTTACTTTTTACAAATGGTTGCATATATATTATGAAGAAAATATTTATTTTGGGCAGTTAGTATATTATTGGGTTAATATATGCATTGTCTTTATATTAATTTATCTTTAAATAATAGTGTGAATTTTTTTTAATCTCTAAGCAATTTTAAAGGTATCTTCATCTCAAATTCAAAATTTTAAATTATTCACAAAAGATTAATTAATTATTTATTAATTTTTAATAAATTGTTATTTATCTTAATATTTAAACTCTAAAACTTTAATTTAAAATATTAAGTTTTTTTAACACGAAAACATCCTTAGAGTTGGAGGCGTTTATTTATTGATAAATAAAGTTTTGAAAATGATTTTTTGACCCCTATTTTGAGAAAAATATCTGCCCAGCTGGACCCCAACTGCCTCCTCCAACCGTAACTACCAGGAAACCACCCAAGGTCGGCGCTTTCGCAACTTGAAGCCAGCCATGAACCAGAAATATTGTAGGTCTGACTGCTACAGTACCCCCGTGGCCGTAGAAGAAGAAGCCACCCTCCACCGCCTCTCCTCTCTCACTATTTTTGTCAAACAGTTTGTCGGCTTAAACCCTTCAACCCCTCCTTATAAACCCTCTTCACCACAAATTTTCTCACTTTTTCCACATTACCCACTAAAACTTTGCTTTCTTTTCTACTCTTTGTCTCCATTAATCTGTCATTGATGAATCCAGAAGACGAACTGTGTCCCAAATCTCCCCCGAAATCGTCCACTGCTCCCACTAGTTCTTCCTCAATTCAAGCAGAACCGAGGACATCTTTGATGGATACCCAACAGATTCCTTCTAGTTCTCTGTTCGTCGACACAACTGTTGGTTTCTCTACATCTCCATTGTCTTCCCCGCTTCCTTCTCCTTTAATGGAATTCGAAGCCTTTTCTGCGATGAACCTACCTCCGTCAACGGTTCCCTCCACCGCTGCTGCTGAAGCGGACCCTATTGGGGTGCCTCGGCCACTGGAGTGTTTGCAGGGGAACCCAATTCCGCCTTTTCTGTCCAAGACGTTTGATTTGGTGGATGAGAGGTCCTTGGATCCGATTATATCATGGGGACCAACCGGAGAGAGCTTCGTTGTGTGGGATCCAGTGGAGTTTGCTAGGCTGATACTGCCTCGGAATTTCAAGCACAACAATTTTTCCAGTTTTGTTCGTCAGCTTAATACTTATGTGGGTATTGCGGTAACACAGTCTGCATTAAAAATGGCTGTGTCATCTCTACCTGTATACCTGTATCTACTGTTGTTGTTCTTGTTATTTTGTTCACATTGTTTCGCCTTTTTTGTATTTTCATGTTTCTTCTGTAATTCTTATTTTTTCATTCGATTATTGAGTCTGCTGTTTTTCTGTACGGTACTGCAAAACAAGTGCTTTTGGATGGGATGACCTCCAATATTAGCAGCCCGTTGCTCATCCAAGGGTTCATGTTTTACAGTCCCGTACAGTGTAGATTGCAATTGGAGATGGGTCCTTTAAAACCATTGATGTTTGGGTTTTCTTAGGAACGGGATTCTTCATGTAAAGTTAACAATCAACACATTGTATTAGATTTTGAAATAAAGAAGGTAACTTGGATATAAATTATTCTGCTTTGATATGACATGAAATCTTTTGGAACTTGTATTTGCTCTTGATTTGTATACAGGTAAGGGGAATATAATTCATGTAATGTTCTATTGAGCTGTTGTACTTCTATTGGGTTTATTCGTGTTGGAATCATGTGTAGACTTCTTGTATCGGGGACTCTTCATATGTATAGAGTGGCTTGTATGTTAGATTATGAGTTTGTATATTTGAGTGAAACTAGTATGGATGTACCATAGTCTATAAGAAAATGTAAAAGGCTCTTCATTTATCGGCTCCATATTTAGGCCTGAGGTTTCCTTGTTCACAACGCCATCAGAAGAACTCCTTCCTCTGAGTCTGTACTGGAGTGGGGAGTTGCATCTCTTGCAGGTAGAAATTTAGGTTCTGGTGTAATATTTGTTAGTATGCTATATTGTTGAGTACAGAGTCGGCATTTGTCTAACCATTTCTTTAGGTTTTGAAGAGCTGGTTTCATGATATATACAGATCATCTTTCGGTGCATTCTGTATTCTCCTGAAAAATTGAAGCTTCAAATTTGACTTGGATGCATATTTATTTATGTAAATTCCGACCTTTATAATTTTTCTTTTTGAATTATCATTTCTTCCCCATTCATTCTTCTCTGGTTCTCTTTCAGGGGTTTCGCAAGATTGATGCAGATAGGTGGGAATTTGCAAATGAAGCTTTTCAGCGAGGGAAGAGACATCTTTTGAAGAACATTCAGAGGCGCAAGTCACCTCAATCCCCGGTTGTGAGCTCTTTTGGACCTTCTACTGAAGGAGAGAGATCAGGAACGGAAGGTGACGTTGAGAGGTTGAGGAAGGAGAGGAGCATGCTGATGCAGGAGGTGGTAGAATTGCAGCAGCAGCATAAAGGAACAGCTCACCATATGGAAGAAGTGAACCAGAGGCTTCAAGCAGCAGAACAAAGACAGAAGCAAATGGTTTCTTTCTTAGCAAAGTTATTTCAGAATCCTTCTTTCTTGGCACGGCTTAGACAGAAGAAGGAACAGAGAGAAATAGGTTCTCCAAGGATGAAAAGGAAGTTTGTCAAGCATCAACCATATGAACCGGATAAATCAGAATCATGCATGGAAGCGCAGATTGTGAAGCACACACCTGAGTGGGGAAACCTCATGGAATCTTCTTTGGCCTCAGAACTAAATCCAATTAGTCTTGGTCAATCTCCTGATTTTCAGCTCCAAGGTCCTGCAGGAATGGATTTAGGTGCAGAAGGCATACCATTTCAAGTGAAGACTGAAACACCCACGTCAGATGAGTTGGCAATGGTGCATGGGTTGATCAGAACCCCGGAGCAGGTGGGAGAGGGCACATCTGGCTCGGGAAGTGGAAACCCCCAACTCAAAGGAAAGAATGTTTTGAGCTCAGAACAACATGTTAATGCCGAGTATTTTATCTCTTTTCCAGAAGATTTGGTGAAGGAGAAGACCACCCAAGAGTTTTCATCTCCTGGGATTGAGGGCATTGCTAGACACGGGGATATTTGGAGCACGGGTTTTGATGCCTCTGCTGGTACGTCTAGTCCTGGCCCGGAGTTATGGAGTAATCTCACCAGCTTTGAGGTGCCAGAATTGGGGGTGATGGGTGGATTTCCGGATATCTGGGATTTGAGTTCCCTACAAGCAGAAGAAGGTTCCGGATCAGATAAGCAGCCAGCTGACGAATCCACCTTTAATGAGCCTGAGGGTCAGACTGGTGAAGCAGAAGATGATAGGTCTAAGAAGATAGATCCATAAGGGCTCATATGCTTTAGCAGATGCTGTCCCTGTGGGTATTAGTTATATTGGTTGATGATGGTGTCTATTTATTGGACAATTGATTGATTACCATAATCAGTAGAATGGCAGCCATATTATTTTTTCTGATTATTAATTTCTGTTCTTAATCATCAAATTCTTTTAAATTGTGGTAGTTTCAGTTATGAATTAATTATTTGGATGCATTTTCTGATATTTTGTTACATAATGTGTTGCAGTTGATATCACTTGTTTCCCACTAGCAGATACTTTTGAGTTCTGACATTGCAGGTTTAATGAGATAGACACCATCACCCTTCCGCTTGGTTTGGTTGGATGGTCTAAATTCTCTTCATGGCAACTGGAATGCATAGGTTTGGACTCTGGTAAGGTATGAGAACCTTTTTTTTTTCTGAAAACATGGTTGCATTCTCGTTGGTCACTTGAATGCCTTCAAAGTATATATAGTTCATGCATTATTTCAAATTCATTGTTGATTCCGAGTTGCCCCACATTATAAAGGATAAAGCCATTTATCATTTATTGTTGTCTTAAATATAGAATCAATGAAGTGATGACATTTGAGATTTGGGAAACAACATAAGTTCACCAGTATAAGCCTCTTCATATTTATGTTTTGAGTTCCCTGTTTTGTAATTTGGATTGTACCAAAGTACAAAATCAAGGCCGGTGGATGCGAGAGGAAGGCCTAATATTAAGGAATCCCCCATCAATCTAAGGATAAGTATTTTATAATCTAGTGCAGTCTAGATTGTAAAACAGTTTTTTGTTATGTTTTTTTGGTTTTTATCTCTTATCTTTAGGTAAAAATGGCTGCTTGGCTTTTCCAGTTCAAGTCCAGTCCAAGTGAACCTCTCCTAGTGGTGGATCTTGTATTTGATGACAAGTTTAGACCAGAGTCAACACCAGTTCATAGAACAGAATTATGGATAATACTTTATAGCCTTCAAAATTGTAAAAGTTGAACTTGCTCTAATCATAGCCTTCAAAATTTATCATAGAAGCAAAAACAATCCAGCATACTCATCAGGAAAAACAAAACAAATCCAACATTTATCTCTGAGAAAACAAGAATGAGAAAAAAAGGAAAACAGCACAAAAAGAAGAATATATCAGCCTCAAACATCTATACTCCACCTCTGATCAATTCCCATTCTCAAAATACAGCAGGAGGTACGTGATAGTTATCCAGTAGCAACACACACATCCAAAGAATCATTCAGCATCTTCCTTCTGCTTCTTTGATGTGCGCTCATCAGCTATTTTTTGCTTAGCTTCACGACGCTCTCTCTTCACTCCTTTTGCTTTGTTAGGAAGAGCCATTTCTCCAATCTGTTTGCAACAAATTATAATTGCATGAAAACTTAACACCGGAAACTATTATGGGCCAAATTACACGTAACTAAATGGTAGACAGTTGTGCTCAGAGGATTAGGTCTCCATCAATCTAATTATATTTCCATGTACCAAGCTTAATTGCCAATTGTTTTTTTACCTTTTGATCTGGAATGTAGATCTTGCCAATCTTCCCTTCTATGGCATCTTTGCTAACATTTTTCACCTGAAAAGTGACAATGCAGCAGGCTGACGTTAATGAAATTTCATCTTGTCTAGAATACTGGTAGATTCAATGGGCAAATCTTAGTCAGCATACCTTCTTCTTAGGCTGATCTTTGGCTGTTTTCATAGCCTCTTTCCTTAAGCCTTCATTTGGAAGGCGATGACGACGGACTACCAAATCCATAGAGGGACCTACTTCCACCAGCTCCATCCTTGGGACTAATGTACCAGACTTTTTCAGCCGCAATGCACAATGTGTGAGGAGCACCCTATTTGAAGACAATGCTGTACAAACATAAGCACGGTCTACCCCAGCAAGATTTAAATTTTCCACAACCTACATTAATAAAATTTATGGTTTTATCACATTAAATTAAGTACAAAATTGGTCCCAAAAAAAAAAAAAAAATTGTAAGTAACCAAGTGTAAAACAGTTAGAAGTGCAAAAAGCTATAGAGCCACACCTCTCCCCGAAACAGATCAAGCAAAACTTCCTTCAAATGTTTTAGCTGGTCCACACTCTCAAAACCCTCTCCAATGAAAGCAATGAACGGCTTTGACCCTACCCGGGGTGCTAGTTTCTTGTCATAAGTGAATGAATCCATAGATTTAAAGTTTTCAACTCCAACCTCTACCAGATCATAAATGTGGTGATCGTATGTCCGCCCTATAACAAGATTGTCTGGTCGCTTCTTTGAGTGTGAACCATACTACACAAACAATGACCGTAGAATATTATATCAGAGAAAAGGAAAAAAAAGATAATGGAACTGTTAGCTTAGAGAGGTAATGAGTCCACAGAATGTAAGTATAAATCTAGAAAAATTATGGGCAAAAGACAGGTTTAAAGTTGATTTTTATTATCTCACTTCATTTTCATAGAAAGTTATATCGGTTTCACATGCTATGAGAGAATAATAGGCTCTAATAGTCTAATTAACTATCAATGCTAACATAACATACTAACAAAAAAGCTTTGCTTTGTGCATAAAAAACAGGATCAAAGAGGGCAAGAATTAAGATTGCTGACTTAGAAACGAAGCTCTGATGTTTCAGAAATCAAAAAATGGAGAAAGATATGAACTTCATCCCATGCTTTTTAACTTGGATAAATACAAGAAAATGCTATTTTGACAAACAACAAAACCCAAATCCCCCAAGCTAAATTACTGCAAGTGGCGGCCAACAAACTCAGAATACAACCAAATTGAAGAGTGAATATTTTAGCATACTGAATCACAATTCACAAATAAATCACATTTAAGCATGTAAGTCTTAAACCTATTTGTTTGTAAACACCTTTCTCAGAAAAAGAACGATACCAAAATAAAACCCAATAATACAAGTAAAGAAAATAATGTAAGCTAACCACAAAAAGGCTGCAATCGGTTTTGAGAGAAAAGAACTCCAAAGAAGTTTCACCCCCACTTTCGAATGGCCTAATGTTATCATTTTTGCGTGTAAATCTCACAGCCCCACCTTTCTTCAGGTGGTAAATTTCCGTAAGCACAGCATTCAGAGTGCTGCTCGTCTTCGTGCCTTGAAGTATCAGAGTCTTCTTCCCAGTTTCAACCTACAAAAAGCAAACAAAACAAGACCCAGATGGAGTATAAACTTTGATCCCCTAAGAGAAGACTGGATTATACATGTGTATGAGAAGAATTGTGAAACTTACGAGCTTGGGTGCGCGTTTTTCCAGCGCCCGTTTTACCCTGGCGTTTTTGGGAGTTTTTATCTTCAACATGATGACCGGAACACTATTTTTCTTCTAGTTTACAAACGATACAAGGTTGAAAATCGAAAACTTTCTCGACAGACAGTTCCCCTGCACGGCGGGGAAGCTAGAGGCTTTGGAAGAAAGCTGGGTATGGACCGGCGCGGCGGCAAGCAACTGAAAAAGGTGAGAGATGGGAGGTTAAAACCCGTTCTGGATTTTTGCGACCTAACTTCTTTATTGGGCCGTCGGGTATTTCGTCGTGATCTCTAGGGTTTATCTAAAATTTAAACAGTGTTGGGCCCAAGGCCCTGAGGCTTTTTTTTTTTTTAACAAGTTCCTTTTGTTTTCCTTCTTTTAGTGTATGTTTGAATTGGGGGATTTGAAGGGAAAGAAAAAAACAAAAGAGTTAGGGATAGATGTTTCTCTCATTTCATTTGTATTTTTTTTTTTATAAATGATGATAAATAGAATTAAAATTTAGGATTAATGACATAATATAAGTTATGTCATTTAAAATATTAAAAAATA